CAGGGATTTTGGATTCATGAATCTTCTGTACTGTCTGGTTTCTTTGGCTCCCTTTTTTGTTGGGGAGTAAGGGGAGGGTTGGGGGGGTGGCAAAGAAAGGCATTATATTGTCTTTTCTGTTTGATGTTGGAGTAATATTGTGGACTTGGGCATATGATTGTGTAGTTATGATGTTCTGCAATTGCTTACCGTACATGTGTCTGTCTAGTGCTGAATTGTTAGCACATTGTATGTTACTGGTGTTTCTGTGGTTTTGTTGTCGTGTTGGGAGACAAATGCAGTGTGTGTCTCAAATGCAGTGTGTTGGTTTTCAATGTAACTATTTAAGGTTACAGGTATGGCATATGAATTGAAGAGGATTTGCATTCCCTTTCAACCATTGTTGGAGCGGATAACTAAGTGCTTACAGTTCCCAAAGCCTGTTTACGGTGTTAGGCATGTGGGACACAACAGTACGTCCTTATGTACGTGTGCAGCCTGAAATTGGCCCGGGTTGCATATACTTTGTTGGTGGTGATGCCCCTTAGGTTGAGATATCACGTGAAAGGGCAGCCCTGAAAGTTGTTCGACACTTGATAAAGTGGTATGGGGTCCGTATTGATGACTTCACGTCTGATAAGGTCGACATGTGTCGAATCTCTGGTCGGTTCTTTGCTCAGAAGCGTGGAGTTCTTTCGCCGGTGACACATAATTTGTTGGATCCTTTGACAAGGGACCTTCTGTATGGGAAGCCCTTGAATGTTGTTGTTCATGTCTATATGGATTATGTGGCTTTCTTGTCAGTTGTTGCTAAGGTCACTGGTGCTGTAGTGGTTTCGTTTGAGACAGTTACTGTTGATAGTGAGGGTTTTATAGCTTGGATTATGGTAAGCTGTTCTCAAGTTGGAGGCAATTTGGAAATGTTTTTTAGTGATCCTTGTGTGGAGATGGTCACTGCTGAGCAAAAAGCTGCTAAGAAGGCCATGTGTTATTTGGCGCATTGGTTTCATTTAGAGATTATTGATGCGAATTATGGTGGTGCAGTACTTTAACACACTGCTGCTCTTATGTGGAAGGAAAGGTGTCTTTGTGCCAGGACCTCTTTTTTAGTGGTTGGGACTGTAGATTCACATATGATGGGAGAAGCTGAATCGAGGTGTTCTACTCCCACCGATGAGTGTTTGAGAATTTCAACACCGGTTGTTCCCCCTGCACTATCGGTCAGGCGCAAAGTGTTTTGCCTGGATCATGTTCTCTGAATGTAGCTTCCTCATGTACTGTGGTACCTGTGGCTGAAGAGTTAGAGGCTTTTTTCAAGCGTGCAAGGATTGCATAGCTATTTTACTGTCATGCGTTTTGCAATTGCACCATATTACAATCTTCAGTGCATCTTTAGGCACTGGTGTGCTGCGCCCATTTTTTGTGGTGGCATGTTGAAATTAACTGTCTTAGGCTTTTGTTAGTTGTTAGGCGCTTGTTCTACAGCCTTTTCCCGTAGTGCCCGGGTATGATATGTTAGTGTAACAGACAACTGTTTCTTTGCTTTTGTATTATGTGCAACAGTTGGCCTATGTAAATGCTCAGCAAATCCCTGAAATATATTAATATAATGAATTTCACTTTGGTTATTCAGTTATTGGTGTCCAGTTTAATGTTTTGAATTTTACCTAATATATGGTGCAGTTTGCCATTGTATTTTGTTTTTTGGTTTTTTTATATTTTGGAGGTGGGGGATGGGGGGGTTTTTGTTTTTGTTTGTGTATCTATTGCTGTATGAAGATCATTGTTCTTCCATTAGTCACTGAATACATTTTGGGACTACTTACGATTTATTATGGGTGGGTGCTTGGTTGCCCTGTTTGTATTTGTTAATTTCCTGTCTTATTACTTTATAGTTGTTGCAAATGTTGCTTCTTGATGTTTAAGGTAGCTTACTGAGTGCTGCAGACTTAATGCTTTTGTTTTGGGTCCTTTTAATGTGCTGGGTGTAGATGAACCGTAATTCTAAAACACGCCATACAAAGAGAAGTCCATGCTTGTGGGAGAGTCGCTGCCCCTGACAGTCAGGTATAAAAACTATTTTTTTGGTTATGTAGTGAATGCCATACGGTGGCTTGACGTATGTGGTGACTTACAGTAACTTGGGAAATTGTCGACTAAGAGCACCAAAGAGAAGGCGCACTCAGAATGGTAGATATTTCCCTTTAACTTGTGACTGATGTATCTTGGTTTTAATGCATGAATAGTGATGAAGTGTTTACTATTTTTATGATTTGTAGTTGTAGGTGTCCCGGCTGCTACCATTGGACTACAGTTGCCCTCGGAGTCTCTGCAGTTAAAGGCACCTTACTACTGCCATCATTGTTTTGTGAAGCTTTTCGCATCTGAGACTAAATTCTTTTGTTGTGGAGATGGGGATATAGAAATTGCTATGAATGAATACCCTCCAGAGCTTGCTAGGTTGTTTATGTCTGAGGAAGAAGATGCAGTCCATTTCCGGCAATATGCTCGCTTATATAATAATCTGTTTGCATTTAGCTCATTAGGTTGAAAATACGGTGCTAGCACAGAGAAGGGAATCTATGTGTTCAAGTTACATGGACAGTTATATCATTATGTTCCAGATCTGCTCTCAGGTGATGGTGGCGCAAGGTATTTACAACTTTATTTTTATGATGGACAGCAGGAAGCCAAAAGAAGAACTGATTCCTTCCTAGAGGTGCGACAGGATATAATCGATATTTTGATGCGAGTTTCTGAGGCAAATCTGTATGCCTGTTTTTTTCGGTCATTGAGAGGGATTGAGGTAACAGAAGAAACACAAATTATCCTTAATCAAAGTGCAGTGGTTGATCAGCGCGTGTACAATGCTCCAACGACTGATGAAGTTACTGCCATTTGGCCTGATAGCACTTCATCAAGCCACAGATGTAGTCCTCATATTTTGGTGACGGGAAGATCGAGAACACCTCATCGTATTTATCATCATTATGGCTGCTATAACCCGCTACAGTATCCTCTTCTATTTTCTCGAGGAGAAAGTGGCTGGAGCCAAGGGCTGAAAAAGAAGTCCTAGGTGGTCGACAACAACCAATAATACAAGTAGATCCTATGTTATCATGTGCTGTTCACACTGCTGAAGATCTATTGGATGCAGAGGCAACAAGTAAGTGTCACCCCAGTATATTTGCTTTTTGAGTTGCTATACATGCTACTACTATATGGTGTCAGCATTAGTGTTCCAGCTTTCACTTTCTCTCAATGCAGGGGCAGCTGGTAAAAGAACTAAAGCAGACCAGTACATTTCACCAAGAGAGTATTATGCTTACCTATTGCAAATGCGCATAGGTAACATGTTGTTAAGGGTCGGCAGACTTCTTCAGCAATATATTGTCGACATGTATGTGAAAATGGAAAATACTCGACTGGACTATTTTCGGAATAATAAGGCTAGCATCAGGGCTGACCTTTAGTGGAGAGACATTAGCATTTAAAATTGGTCAAAGGGTTATTTTGCCTCCAACTTTTATTGGTGGACCTCGAGATATAAAAAAACGCTATTTAAATGCTATGGCTCTGGTTCAGAGATATGGAAAGCCAGATTTATTTGTCACTATCACATGTAATGCAAATTGGCCTGAGATTAAGGCTGAGTTAGCTCCTGGAGAATTAGCGCTGCATAGGCCTGATTTGGTGGCTAGAGTGTTTCGAGCCAAATTATTGGCCTTGAAAAGGGAGATTATGGACAACCAAGTATTTGGTGAAGTTTCTGCTATGATATATGTCATTGAATTTCAGAAAAGAGGTCTCCCGCATGGTCATTTCCTCTTCATTTTGACAGGTGGAAGCAAGCTTAAATGTCCAGAAGATTATGACAGGTTTGTCTGTGCTGAAATTCCGTCGTCCAGCAATCCAGTTCTTCGTAAGATTGGACTAAAGCATATGATGCATGGTCCATGTGGAGACCTGAATCCGAAATGTTCTTGTATGCGTTAAATAGGGCATAGGGCAACTTGCAAATACTCTTTTCCAAAACAATTTACGCCACACACAACAACAAATGATGATGGTTTTCCTACGTATCGTAGAAGAGACACCGGGGATATGGTGAAAATCAGAGGGGCTAATCTTGATAATAGATGGGTGATTTCATATAATCCTTATCTTTCTATGTTATTCGATTGTCATCTAAATGTGGAGATCTGCTCTACAATCAAAGCTGTGAAATATTTATACAAGTATGTGTACAAGGGTCATGATAAGATTTCGTATAATGTGGTGCCAGCAAATGGTGAACCTACTGATGAGATTAAACAGTTTTAGTCCGATAGATGGGTATCCCCCTGTGAAGCTGCATGGAGATTGTTTGCCTTTGATTTGTTTGAGATGCATCCTCCAGTGCTCTTGTTGCAGGTGCATTTGCCAAAGCAACAAACAATACATCTTCGCCCATCTGAACGACTAAATGCTGTCATTGGAAATTCAAAGCGTTCACGGACTCAACTCACTGAATTTTTTGCTATGAATGCGACTGTACCTGGTGGGCTTGGGTTTTTGTATGGAGAATTTTGTGAGCATTATAAATGGGAAGCATCAAAGAAATAGTGGAGCCAAATATCAATAGATAGAACTCAAATAGGTCGTTTGGCATTTGTTTTTCCATCAGAAGGTGAGCGCTTTTACTTGCGATTGTTGCTTTTGCATGTCCAAAGTCCTAAATCATTTGAACATCTGGGCACTGTAGATGGGTCTGTTTGTTTGACATTTCAAGAAGTGGCTTTAAAATTGGTTTTGCTTGAAAGTGAGGACCTAGCCAACATGTGTCTCTGTGAAGCATGTGAGGTCCAGATGCTAAGTACTTTGCGCCGATTGTTTGCAACAATTTCCAGCCAATTGATCCTGCAGCACTATGGACTAAGTACTATTCCTTCTTGGCTGATGATTTCTGCCATCAGTTTCCAACAGAACCCATGAAGGCTCAACAGTTAACTGTTAGAGATATATAACGGCACTTAGAAGCAATGGGTAAATCACTGAGTGATTTTGGAATTCACGAGGTCTTTCAGCAGGCTAACTTAGAAATTCAACGAACAAAGGACATTATTGATGCTCTAGATGCACCTATTCCTGAAGAGTGTATAGATTGCATACAACGCTTAAATCCAGCTCAAAAGGAAGCATTTACATGCATTATGCAGCATGTAAATGATAAGCAACCAGGTGCTTTTTTCATAGACGGTCCTGGAGGCACGGGCAAAACTTTCCTCTATAATGCATTGTATGCTGAAATTCGCCTTGTGAATAAGATAGTGTTGCCAACAGCTACATCTGATATAGCTGCTGCAAACATTCCTTTTGGTCGTACAACACATTCGAGATTTAAGATTCCTCTAGATTCTAATGCATCGTTGGCGTGTGCTGTTCCAAAACAGGGTAACCTTGCTGCGCTTCTCCGAGAGACGACCTTCATAATATGGGATGAAGCTTCTATGGCTCATAAAGAGAATATGGAATCCTTAGATATGTTGCTGCAAGATTTGTGTGAGAATGATTCCTTGTTCGGTGGTAAGGTGGTGGTGTTTGTGGGAGATTTCCGTCAAGTATTGCCAATTGTTCCACGTAAGACACAACAAGAAGCTGTTAAGGATAGCGTGGTGACTTCGTATTTGTGGCCTAAGCTGAAAACGTTTAAGCTCACAGAAAACATAAGAGCTCGATATGATCCATTATATTCTGCATTTTTATTGTCCTTAGGAAATGGTGAATTGCAGCAAGCAGAGAATGGATATGTTCCACTTTCCATGGAAATTGTCCAGCCTCTTGCAATGGATAAAGATCCTGTGGAGGAAATCATGGCAGCAACATTCCCTGAATTTAAGGGTGGTGGGTTTGGAAGTGATATTTTTACTAAAAGGGCTTTACTTACACCAATGAATGATGATGTAGATCTTATCAACTCTATCATGATTAAAGAATTTCCAGGAGTTCTTGTTATTTATAAAAGTTTTGATGGTATCCTTGATGAAATGTGCAGTACAGTGTTTATCCAAAAGAATTCATAAATAAGTTGTGTCCTTGGGGAATGAGTCCTCATGAACTTGTGTTGAAGAAAGATTATCCTGTGATTTTGCTGCGGAATATACTTCCTTCTGCTGGCCTATGTAATGGCATGCGACTCATATGCAAAAGCTTTTTCCCAAATGTTATTGAATGCGTGATTGTTGTTGGACAATATGTTGGGACACATATTTTCATTCACAGAGTTCGGCTCAGGTCCTCTGCTTCGTCAAAGTATCCATTCCAGTTTGAAAGGAATCAGTTTCCAATCAAATTGAGTTTCGTGATGACCATAAATAAGTCATAGGGCCAGACCCTAAATCAAGTTAGTGTTTACTTGCCAGGGCCGTGTTTCTCCCATGGTCAGCTGTATGTTGCTCTCTCTCGAGCAAAGAAGTCTACCAAAATAGTTGTCTACACTGCAGTTCCTCCTGAACAATACACCGTCAATTTCACTAAGAACATTGTATCGTATGATGTTTTGCAATTAGCTGGTATCATTCATGGAACAGGTGTTGTATAGTGTAGTGTTAATTGCCAAGGGTATTTCACTTAATCAAAACAAAACAATTTGTATAATGTCTGCTATAATTCTTAATTATATAAACACTTACTCGAATTCGTGTTGCTGTTTGCAACAGGTGAATCAGCATTGGTGGTCTTTAAGTGTGAAGTTGCATGGTGGCATTAATTATATATTTAAATCCTCTTGGAACTTTTTGGCAAACTACAACCAAGGGACTTTTGTATTCAACATGCCCTATGTGCCTTTTGCTTCATGACATATCAATTGAATTATTTTGAGTAATGCCATAAATTGATGTATTATTTTGGCTGTCAGCAGGTTATGTATGTTGAAGTTCTTATTTTATTGTTATCTGCGTCAAAAAGAATGTAAAAAGGGCAGGTTTCAAATTTTTAGTGAAAAAAACATATTATGCCTAAAGCCTATTACTTATTATATAGTATTGTTGTCAATATCATGGAAAATATAATATTTTTGGTATTTTAATTAGTCTTCGTATAGATTTTTATATTTGTTCGTTTAAAATGGAATTCCAGTGGTTTGTAGTTGCTTGTTTAAGGAACTTAAAAAATTAACAATTTTATACATATTCAATAATTTTTCATAATTTTGCTCTAGTAATTGGGCTTCAAAAAAAAACTTGGCTAAGCCATGTACTTCCAGTATTATTAGGTAAAGTAACATTTGGATAGTACAAATTTTATTAAAGTTAGAATTTCACTTTGCTTAAATTTAGAGATAAAATCTCTGTATAACTACTTTGATAAACTTCATATTTTCTGTACTATATTGCTTATAAGAGAAGATAAAATCTTCCTTTGGATTTGATAGAAGCTATAGGGAATGTGGTGCTACAGTTCTAGGCACTGTTTTGGGGCTCAGAAACGGTTGTAAAAAAAGTTTTCCCTTGTACGGTCTTGCTAACTAGCTTTATTAAAGTTCTCCTTCAAGTTTTTACCAGCTCTACATCATCAAATGTTTCAGACAATAAATCCGTCTAAAGTTCTTGTTTTTTTCCCACCATTAATCAGGTCCAATTTCAAGCTATATTGATTAAGTCCACAAAAAAATATGAACATTTTAGCTAATATAAAACATCTGTAAAAAAATTGTTATTTCTACTGCAGCTCCCGACAATGATACTAAGGGTGTTGTAACCACTCCATCAATGAAAGATGCAAACAAGGATAACTCACCTCCAGCATCTCTTAATCAGGAATGATCTCCAAATAATCACCCCTAAATGCTGCATTCCACTTTTGTACATAGTTCTCTTTGTAACACTACCACCAATGATTCAGCTGCAGCAAAACACCTCACCATTGCTTTAAATGTGCAGCTGTTTTATATAAACTATGTCAGATTAGTTGTACACGTTCTTTTGGAGCCTTTTTTCACATTGGTGTGTATTGTTAAACAATCCTTATCTATGTAGTTTAGACTAAATATTTTGAGGAGTTTTAAAGGAACATACACAGCCTTGTCTTTAATAATGATATCCTGAATTTGTCAAGCCTTATCCCTTTACAGTTTCACAGCTAAAAGGGTATATAATTTCACAGCCTAGACAAAATACCTTTTAACCTAAGATTACAAGCAAATGTTACCTACAATAATGTTAATAGGCAAAACTAATCTCAAGCAGTCATTATTAAAGACATCCACATACGCTTTTATATCCTCACAATACAAAGAATTAACACTGAAACGTATTATCTATTTCCCAAATTTTGTCGGTATATTAAACATAGATTCCCTCTTACCATAGTCTATAGGAAAAATAGTTCAACAGAATCACACATCATACTAAAATAGTACTTCCATTCAAAGAATACAAAGCGAGTCACTAAAAATATACATACATTAATCAGATATGGCGAGCATGTTAAAATTTTTATACATGGTTCTCCCTAAAACACTACCACCTACATTTCATCCACATCAAATCACCGTGGCATTGCATAAAATCTTAATGATGAGGGAGAGTAAAACTACAAGGAGATTACAGCTAATTTCGTATTGAAAACTACGACATTGAGTTTGTAAAATGAAGATGACCAAACACATGGTACGTGCTTTCCACGCAAATCTGCCTAGCCCCCTGTCCTTTAGCCATTCTACAGGCAAAGCAAATTGTTTGGGTATTGACATTAAATTAATAAACACAGCCTACAGGAAATGCCACCTGGAAACAACAACATTTTTATAGTAGCTCAAAGGCTTGAAAACATTGTTTGCATCATTCTTATACAGTCGTTACAAGTCACGCGCATATCAGTACGGGTGTTGTAATGCACCTTTTGGTTTCTGCAGAGACAAATAGCCTAAGCCAAAGTCATTATTCTTATGAGTACTCTTGTATCTATCTTGCTGTCCATTGTAAGCACTGAAATTAGCCACTTTGTAAATATAATTTCTTCTGGAGAGTTTTTAAATTTTGCATAAATCATACTTCATGCAAACATGCTGTACCTCCGTGCAGTCAAAGACCATGCGGGCATTTGGCTGCAACACAGTGCCACAGCTCCCCACGTTTATATATGCACACTAAGTTCGAACATCAGTCAAAAACACACTTAATGTCATTAAAAATTCCAACTCCTTATTGACTTCAAGTGTAAAATATATATAAATTGCCCATAACTCATTATCTAATTAATCTTTGTAACTGAAAATGCTTTAATACACTACAAAACTCTAAAATATATCATATCATAGTACTAATATAGCTGATTGCATATTAAATCCATATAAAATACATAACTAACTTCAAATAAGTCACAAATTCATACAATAAAATCCATATAAAAGTCCTGACTAATAACTTAACAACATTCCATAGTTTTCCTAAACATTTCATACTAATATAATTGATTACATATATTATTCTAAATCAGCTCCTCAATAGATAATCACACTAGAACTAAATCCACATCAAACACTATAGGGTCACCTTCCTTATACTTGAAAAATGCAGCTTCATCCACTTGAACATTGTAATAATCAACAAATTCTCTGACTCCATTCGTCAAATAACACCAAATGATCATGTTCTTCTTTGTCACAATTTTCAGCTGGGCTTTAAACTGCTCATCGAAATACTGTAAAATTAGATCAGTTGATGGAGAGAGTTCCATGAAACGTGCTTTTGCAAAAGGCAATGGAACATTCTGCCAAGCACATAATAAAACAACATAAGTAAATATAGGCACATATAATAAGCTATTGAAATTATACAGCTCGCAGTAATCACTTTAGTAGCAAACTTACAATGATCCTCTGCTCAAAGTACTTTTTAGTGAAAGAGAACTTAAAGAAAGCTTCACCACAAGCATTTGCAAGCTGATCGAGCCAAGCATTTGCCTCCATCATTTTGTTTGTCCTACTTTCAATAGCTGGCTGACGCCCACACTTCTTACCCGTGTCACCAAACTCAAGAACTTGTTCTCCTGCCACACTCTGTGGAGGTCTAGTGCGATAGATAATTTTAACCATGAAAGTGTTGGTTGGTATGTACTTAAACATTAAGACATCCCAACATTTAAGCCATTCTCATCCATAAAATCTGACCACCCTATATCAAGATACATCTTCCAACCACTATCAGATTCCTCGTGCAACAAAGTAACAAACCAAGAGTCATCAGTGCCATCTAGCACCAACTCAATATTGACAAAACCATCTTTTAGCAACTCTTCTATGAAGGACTAATTAGGAAGACAAGAAAACTCTTATTCGAATCACACTATCAACCCTTATATTCTGTTACATTACATAAAAATAAAAAAAACAGCCTAATTATCCATTCTAAGTGTTAAAATTTAAAAAATGTTTCACTTTATATGAGAGTATTGTCAATTCTCATTTAAATATGGTGCAAGTGAAAGCACAATTACGTTACAGGGAAGCAAATCAACCTATATATTCTTATAATTATTCATACTGTTAGCCCTCCACCATTTCAAATAATTATAAATTACAAAACTAATTCTTTGAATCATTCTGTACTATAGCCAATCTAGAACAACAAGTTTAGAAGCAATGTAGCATATCAACCCTAGAATTAAAGATTAAAAAGGTTATTTCTAAAAATAAAATCAAGGCATATACATTAAAGAAACCCTAATTGTTCCCTTACCAGTTTGTCTCGATTTTCGGCTTCCACACGAATAGTGAATGATAGTGCAAATTCACCCATGGCTCCCGAGATAGCAATAAATACAAGTATGCGTTTTTTCTGAAAAAAAAAATAGGCCTACACAATGACAATGAATCAAGGATATATATAAAGCCATGGGCTTTTAAGCCTTTATATATAAACTTATTTAATAAGTAGTACCCTAACCAAGTAAAAGGCACATATCTCAATGCCTGTTTTTATAACGTTAGGCTCACAGAAAAAAAATCTATAGTACATAAGATTCTTTCTGATGCAATATTTCAAAAGATTCAACTTACTGATGATTAATATTCCCTCTTAGCACTGATGAACTGCAATGAAATAGAATTTATGTATTCAATTAGCAATGATGAACTGCAGCAATGTTCTGCAATATTCCAAATGAAATACCTTATAGTTTCACAACCCAAAGGGTATACAAGTTCACAGTTTACACAAAGTACCCTTTAACCTAAGATCACAAGCAAATGTTACCTAAAATAATAATGATAGGCAAGGTTATTCGCAAGCAGTCATTATTCAAGACATCCATAACTGCTTTTATACCCTCACAATACAAAAAATTAAAACTGAAACATATTATCTACATCTCAAAATTTGTCAGTATATCAAATTCATTATCTAAGTCTATAGAATAGATAGTCCATAATCAAATTTAGTCCGTATATCTTGATATAAGTTTACATACAATGTAGTAGAGGTGGCCTAACTAACTTCAATCATGCCAAGAGCATAAGCTCAATACCCCCCCCCCCACACGCACACACACACCCTTCTCAAGAATGAATGTTGTATAATCATGTGAAGCAGTCCATTCTTCAGTAGAAGTATTCTGAGCTAAGTTGTTTGTTCAGAGGGGGTGCTTGCTTTGGAGTTCTTTTGATATGATTTAGGTAATAAGTTGAGGTTTTGGGAGATGATTTTTTTCCCATTAAGAAATATGTTGAATTCCCTTCGCCATGTCTTGTAGGTTTGGGGTTAGTTCATTTGGGTCAACCTTTTTCCGAGTAATGAAGGGAACATTTTTTTGTGTTTTTTGGCAATTTCATTGTTGTTTTAGAATAATCTATTTGAACAAAGAAACCCATCTACAGTACGCAATAGAATCATCCTTACTCAATATATCAAAATATAAATGATTTCCATCATTACCAACCCATTCTAAATGTCATGGTGCTAAGCTGCTAGCCTACAGGCTACAGACACACAATTATGAAAACTTCAAGTTAGGCTTTAAACAAAACATTGGAATAGTTATCATTTATTAATGATGTTTGTACATCATTTTTCTATAACAAAAGCCTAAAAATGCTTTCAACTTTTATGACACCATGCAACTCTTTCTGAGTCTTTTCCCAAAATCTGAGTTGAAAAATTATCTAAAACTTTCACCCTTATCATTCTACCTAAGATAATTTTAAATGAGTAATATAAAAAGCAACTTCTAAGCTCCATTTATTACCAGCCCACTTCATTCTCTCCCTTCTTCTGAAATCATGAAGGTTTAAATGGCAAACGGCCTACTTGAATTATATCTATTGATCTTTGGCTCCACTGTTTCTTTGATGCTTCCCATTTATAATGCTCACAGAATTCTGCATATAAAAACCCAAGACCACCAGGTAATGCTACATTCATAGCAAAAAACAACAGTGCTGATCTGAACCTAATGGTTCGGTCATTATATTAGCAAAGCAACACCTAAAGTTACAGGCAATCTTGCTACTGGCCTTGGAATAGCATTGTGACAAACCAAGATAATAAGAAAGACGTTAAAAGTCCGTTGCTTTCTATCTTCTAAAGATTATTTAAAAAGAGAACAATACAATGTCAAGCCAACCAAAACTCCCTGATTCAACCAATTCAAATTGAATGAATATCGTAATTAAACCCTAGAAAATTAAATTAAATCAACAGTAAGAAAACTGGTATCTCCGAGAAACCTGTCATTTATTCCCAATACATGTAGATATTAATTCATCAAATGTTGGTCAACTTTTTATAGGCAGGTTTAGAAACTCTGAAGTAGTGAACTCAGTTAC